ATCAAACTTTGGCGCCATTTTCTCGTTCATTTCCCCTCTGACCCCAGGTTACTTTTACCTCCTTCACTCGAAAATATCATGACTTCAGTTGGAGATACATTTGTATTTCATTTTAACAAAATCAAGATAATTAAACTAGATTTTATGATTATACTAATAAGTACATAATATGTCCTGACAATTGATGACCACCTGATGACACCGTGTCGTGAAACAAAAGATCTCACCGATGCTATCAGAAATCCCTTGTTTGTAAACGGCTTTCCTTGTCTTCATGACTTGTTCATAGATGCGAGGGTACTTGAACTTGATGGCATCACACAGTAACTTGAAGGCGTATGAGATCGGAGACTTCATTATCTGTAGATACATTCTTATAATAATAACAACAACAACAACAACATCAGCAAAAATAATAAAGATCTTTATTATTAATGATTTGAGTGAAGACAAACTGACACAAGCTGCCGTGCAAAGTATGGGAGATATTGATTCATCTGTTCAAAATATATTTGATGATAAATTGCGCCATGAATTTTTTACCGCACTATAACGGACAGACATGGGCAGACATAAACATACAAGGTCACCAAAGAGGCAGTGTTCAGGAAAACAAAACAGATCCCAGTCAGAGATGAACAAGGAAGAAGGTGGTGGCGATGGATTGGACATGCTCTTAGAAAGTCAGGTGGCTGCATTACAAAGAAAGTGCTGAATTGGAATCCATAGGTAAACGATCAAAGGGAAGATCGCGTGGAACCTGGAGAAGAATCACATAAATTGATGTACAGAAAAGTAGAAAGATATGGAATAACACCAAGAGGCTAGCCCAGGGTAGAGAAAGATGGAAAGAGTTTGTTCGTGGCCTATGCCCTCGTACAGGGCGAAAAAGGCAGTGATGATGACAATTCTTCAAGAGTCATAATGTGACTTGCTGCTCTCCAACTGAGTTTGCCAGGAGCAAGGTTCCCCCATGTCAAAGGATTAATGTTGAAGTCCTTCTGGATCTCGGGGCAACCTACTTGGAGAACCTAAACATATGGGTGACAGAGAAAGATCAGGAAAATATTGCTTTTTAGAGAGCATACGAGCAAAGGAATGAAAGGAGAACCATGATCGCTGGGGAACTCAAGATAAAATACTAGCTTTATGATTCTGAATCCACGCAAGTTCACGCATTGTAGGTGATACAAAATTTCTTTATCTGTAGACACGTTGTATGATACCAGAGATTTCATTATCTCTAACACCGCATTGTTGGTGGTACAAGATTTCTTTTCTGTGAACAAGCATGAGAAGTGAAGCGGTAAAGCGGTCCGCTATCTCACTCAAGAGACTCGAGTTCGATTTCCAAGTGGGGAGAATTTTTATCGAGTATCTCGGTCTTTCGGCTGGGATCTGGTAGGGTCTAACGTGTGTCGATAGGGGGGGGGGGGGTTAGAGTTGAAAATCAACTACACTGAAAAAGATATATTATTATATATACAGATGAAAACAAACTCCTTGGAGATAAAAAATTTCAAGATTTGTAAACACATTGTAGGCGGTAGCTGTCTTTATCATCTATTAGTAAGGAGTTGTTGCAGTAAAGAGTAGTGCATCAACATAATGGCCGTGATTGAGAGCTGTGGAAAAAGTAGGACAAGATCGACAAATTCAGTATCCAGAGATCAAAGAGGTAGGACCTACCATTGGCGACCTCCAACCACCCCAGACAAATGGACAGACAGACAGACAGACAGACAGACAGATAGATAGATAGATAGATAGATAGATAGATAGATAGATAGATAGATAGATAGATAGATAGATAGATAGTGTGAATCCACTGAGTTCACCTTAGGCAGCAAGATTTGCATTCGGTCAACGTTCTTGCTAGGCGCCATGATTTCTTGCCTGTCTGTGACCTTAACCACTTGACCTTGCTGCAGTCGGTCAAGGACGTCCTCGGCTTGCACAGTGTCGTGGAAAAGTTTGTAGCATTTGGTAATGACCACTCTGTCTTCTGGAGGAATGCCTGTTGAGGGTAAGGGTAAAGGATAATACCTTGCTGAAAAAGGATCTTCTCCTGTACATGGCTTTTTGCATCTTGTAAGACGGTCTTAAAGTATAATGCAGCTTTGCATGGGCGGTAGACACATAGGGAGGGAATTGCCTAATTACCGCTTCTAACCCTCCAGATCCTGATTTCTTTGATATGCTCCAAAGAAAAAGCCATGGTCAATAATACGTTTGGGGAATCTCATCTGCTATCCAGGATGTAGAAAAGAGAGAGAGAGAGAAGTGCAAGGAATTGATGAGGTGTAGGCCAGAAGTCAATACAGCGCCAATAGCATCCCTTGCAAACGTTAAGGGTGTAGGCTTAAAGAAAAATAAGATAAGATAATATGAGATTATCTGCATTGTTCACTCGTTGGAACGCTGGTTTAGTGATTCACCACACACACACACACACACACACACACACACACACACACACACACACACACACACACAAGCT